TCGGCGGGTCGAGCTTTGTGTTCACGTCTCTGTGCAGAATCCGTGTTCCTGCTCTCAGTTACTGTTTTAAATGTTTGGTGGTTGTTGAAGTTTTGTGACATTTAACCTGAGATTCTGGCGTTTCTGGCAAAATAAATTAATATTAAAAAATCGATTCAGGATTTTAATGAATCGATTTTACGTTATTCAAGCTAGAATCAATTTTAATCGATAAATCGATCATCAAAACCCAGCCACAGCTAATAGTGTTTTTTTTAATCAATATCAAGTTTTCACAAAACCTTTAATTTACTGTTATTATTTATTTCACTGCTTAGAAATTGTGACTACTAATTAAAGCTCTTCGTTCCCACCTCCCTCAGTTTAAGGCAGCTTTCTTTTGATTGGCAGCTCTTCATAAGCTGAACAGTGAGTGGGCAGGGCTTCTGTGCCTGGGATGGTCACATATAGGGGTTCAACTTTGACCTCACACAGACCCAAAAGAATAAAACAAACAAACAAACAAACAAACCAGCCTGAGGGTGACCTCTCAGGGATTACTGTACACTCGTGACTCGCTACTTCAACACGAACATCCACCGCTGGAACAGGAGACATGACAGGAAACAAACACTTGAAGCTGTCGTGAGCGACAGTTTTAGAGGCGCTGAGGGGCGCAGCGTGTGAAACGCTCTTTTTTATCTGATGCAAATTGCTGCGCAGCGTCTATTTCTGCAGCTCTTCTCTAATGGCCTTTCCAGGCTCCTCTGAAACTCAGACATGCAGTGTGGAGGTGTGAGTCTACCACTCAGCCTCAAGAATGTTTTACAGGTGAAATGAGATGCAGAGCCGCGGCGCACACACTCGGCATGTTCCCACTGTTTGCTAATAAGCTGGGGGACATTTTCAGATTCACACTCTCTTTATCAATGACAGATAAGAGTGATTTTAAAGAGAAACCCACACAGATCCACACGGTGGCCAGCTCAGCGAGTACATCCAAGAGAGACACTCAGACAACAATCCAAACTATTTGATTTGGTTTAGGATAATCCCAGCGTGCTGCTGTATGTCTGCACATATACAAACATGCAGATCAAGCTTCACGTCTGCTCTGGTCCCACACTAAACTGGTTTACACCCATCAGTCACCGGCTGCTGGAAAAACCTGATGATCCGCCGTCTAGCCGCAGAGCTTCCTTGTACTAAGAATAACTTCAACAACATTTTCTAAGAATTTCCCCTTAAAGTCAGAAGTAAATCCCAGCAGAGAGAAAACTTTTTCATAAAACATGCTCAGCCTTTAACAGAGCTTTGAAGCTGAAGTGTTTGAAGCAGAGAGGAGTTAAGAGGTTTAGGAGTTTCCTAAGGACAGGAGGACGTGGTGGAACGATGCTCGTAGGTCACACGATCCCCACGTG